CATCTTTTTGGGTCCCAAACCATCAGTTGAGAATCACTGTGCTATAGCTTCAGTTTATGCTTATGACAAATGAGGTTATGAACACAAGATGGCACACTAAGTTACCACTGTACTTACTGTTTTACATGTCACAGTTTTGTTGGTTTTCATGGATTTATGGCCCAGAAGTATTCTCTTTGCTTGTACAGTAATTATGACTTTGGAGATTACAAACTACAATTAAATAAAGCAGAATTAATTTTGCGCAGTAGTTTAAGAATGTGTCATCCAGCAGCACAAGGCACATTGAGTGTCTACTTATTGATTTTCATTTGATTGTTTTATATTTATGGCATTTGATGTGTTTTTCATGCAAAAAAATGTGCTGTAATTATGACATTGCAATTGTTGTTGCGGAAATTTGAGCTACTGAGAACAGCTTGAAAACATGCCGGTCATTTTCACAGAACAGACTCACTTGCCTTGGAGAAATGTAAGCAAGAAGCAATTTATTCAGTCGCTCCAAATGATTCACTTCTGCAACAGCTGCAATAGGTTGGCATATCGGTTGAGTTTGCAACTAATGAGGGTAAATGGTCATTGCTGGATGGGAGAAAGCTTGCAGCGGTCAAGGTTCATACTAAGGAAATACTCATGAGCTTAGTTGACAGGGTGAAAAGCACCCCTCTGATGCCACTGCATGTCTCTGATGCGCCGAACCGACTGGATCTGTGGGATCTGGGCGCCGAACTCCATGTTGTCCTTATACTCGCCCTTCTCGAACAGGTACTGGTAGCCTCTGTAGCCCGGATACTGGTAGCCGACCCAGCTGGCGTATCAGGCGCACAAGAGGAATCGGATAAGGATTCGTTTGAAGCTGTAGGGGACGGTGACTGGCTCGATGGACTCACGTGCCGCTCTGAACCCGAACAGAGGAGACCTTTTCCTGGTAGCCATGCGCATGGAAGCTCGGGACATCATCATCGATGATTTCTATCTTCTTCCCCGCAAAGCTTGGGTTCTCATAAAGGACAATCTTGTGCTCCTGGCTGTCCTGGGGTCGGAAACAAATAAGCACAGCGATTGCCTTTCTCATCGGCTACTTTGATGATTAATCTGGTTTAAAGCTC